CTCACAGACTGTCCCTATGCTCTGGAGCCAGCACACAAGGCCAGTCTGGAGCATCAGATGCACCAAATGCATCGCACGTCTCATGTTGGCTTTGCACGTGAACCCCAGGCTGGGTCTGGTGCGCACTGCATGCAGTGTGCAGGGCTGGTCTAGGGTATACACTGCATCACATATGCCCTAATGCATTGCATCACACTGGTCCTGTGTGCTGGCTGTGGTGGGAGGGTGGCCACTGATGCATATGCAGAATACCGGAAATCCTCTTGGTGAAGGGTGGAAACACTGGCTCCCTTGGCCAATCAGTGGTGAGGGGTGGGGCCACCACCTCTTTAGCCAATCAGCACTGAGCAGTGGGTCCACACAAAAAGACTGCTATTCAGTCCATGAGCCCCACACCAATGAATGCATGGCACCCTGTGAAATGAGAGACAGCAAGTACTAGGATCAGCAGCAAGTTTGTGAGCCTCTGCAGTTCAGCCAGCAGGGAGCTGAGCCTCACTCGCCATGCATCTTGGTTTTACATATCCCACAGCTCTGCCATTCTCTCCAGACTGTCCAGCCTAGAGAGAATGTGGCTTAGCAGGTGCGAGGCTCGAGCATGCCCTCCCCACACTGGGATTCAGTCTCACTCCATCCCAGTTTCATGACTGGGTGCCAGGGACACACACTGCACAGGGACCTCACTTCCCCCCTATCAGCATTCATCACAGACACTGGGCACCCAGGAATCTGCCCTGGCCACATTCTGGTCAGAGCTGGGCTGAGTGGGGTCAGTGGGCACTGGAAGCCTGAGGCAGTGCAGCCAACTGCCCAGCAGGAGCTTCTCTTCCTTCCCCCAGGAGACAGACAGGTTTGCTTGTCTCGGAGGAGAAATAATGACTTAATGAGCTGGCCTAGCTGCCCAGGAGCCCAGAGGCACCTCTGCCCAAAGCTTCCCCTCCCCATGTAGCGGGACACCCCAGGGACTCACCAGGCTGCTCTTTGGGTGCCAAAACAGAGCCTGTCCCACTGGTGTTCCAGCAGATACAAATGCGGTGCTCTACCTGCCTGCTCTCAAAGCCATGACCTTGTGCCGAGGCCATGTTGGGGGGAGGGGGAGGAGATTAAGCAGTGTGCAGACCAAGTTCCTGTCCCTGGAAGCTCAGCTGCCCCCAGGGCCTCTCACATACCCAGCCCAGGGTCAGGCATGCAACAGTGCACTCTCTGCTCTTGCCATGCCTGTGGATGCACTTTAGCCATGGCTCCTCACACAGGTGCAGAGGGACCAGCCTCTGGATCCCCCCACCTCCATCCTTCCCTCCCTCCCTCCCTAGCTGACTTGGAAACCTGACCCTGCTGGCTGTGCACTGCCATACCTCTAATCACAGCCAATAAAATTGTGAGGACAAATGTTTGACATGCATTTCCACCAGTGAACTGAAAAACGGGATTTTCTGCAGTCTGCTCCTCATTGAAGAACAGACGGGGGACAAACGGTTTAAAAACAGGATGGTCCAGTATAAAAAGGACTAATGGTCACCCTATCTAGTGGTTGGGGCCCATCAGTTGGCCAGATCCAGCCTGTAGACTGGCCTTGCATGTAGGACCAAATGAGTCTGACACACCTGATTTAAGGCATATGGAATCCAGAAACAACAATACGTTTAAGCAGGTGGGGAACAACCAAAACTTTCAAAACAAACTTCAGCTCCACCCAAAGGTTCTCATCTTATCTTGTATTGCAAACCTCTCTCCCTTATGGCATATAACAAAGTCCGGTGCCAAAGAACCTGGAATACAGAAAAGTTTAGATTGCAAATTTAAGAACCATTCAGATTTGGGGATATTGTCCTGTAATAAACATCTACATCAGTCAAGATTCAGGTGTTTGATCTCTCTTCACAATGAAGATAATGTGGTTTGACACAAAATTTACTAAAAACTAAAATGCCCAGCATAAATGAAATCTGACTGAATTCTTTGCTGCATTTTTAGTCCATCTTATTTCCTGCTTTCATTAAAGTTTTCATTATCCTAGTTGTAAACTGACTGCATCAAATGCCTTAAAGTACATTAAAAATATTTCCCTTTTGGCAATTGTATCACAATTCTAGTTCTGTAATTCCCTTGAATAAATATTATTTTAAAAGGATGGAAACAGCTTTTTGGGAAGAGTATATTTTGATATTTGATCCATATTCTTTGTTGAATATTTGATAATAGTGAATTTATATTTATAATAAGGCATTTAAATTAAAATTCTCAAAAAGATTTAAGAACAATTTAGTCTGCAAAAAGCTTGATTAAGAACAGAAGCGATTTATAGAAACAATACTGAAAGGCAGCCAAAGACTGCCTATTCAAAAACTTAAAATACTTTTTTGAAACATATTAAAGTACTCCTGACATTAAAAAGAAATTTAAAACAAAAGGATTTATTGAGATTTTTCTCTAGGAAAATTATTATTAAACAGCAGCAAACAACATGTTGGTAAAACACATGGTAAAAATATATTCTTTTAGCCTGAGAAGAGTGGAAGCAAGCATAAAACAAACTAACAAAAAACCCCAGAATACAGGTTTCATCCTTATGTTCTGTCCTTTGGCCATGTTGCAGTTAAACCACTTCAGCATGTGCTTAACTTCTACCATATAATTAACTCCCAGGCTAAGTACAGACAGTCAAAAAGCCTGAGGCTGACTTGTTTCAGTTTTTGCAGGTTAGTCTAAGCTACAATAATTGAACCAATAAGCAAATGAACAGACATTCACTTTTGATTAAGGAAATGCAGCCACATGCCTGCAGTGGCTCAACCCAGAAGCTGGTGGGCACTAAAGCACTCATGGCCTGTGTGTTTGCTTCTTCTTCCCGCTACCCCTGAGGTTTCTGGGGTTTGCAGTCCAGACTCATAGCAGCAGGACTCTTCAGGATTCCTTATCACTCCCTTTTCCTGCTTCCAGGTGCCTCTGGGACTTGTAGTCTACAATCACAGGCAGCCCTAAGTAAACAGGTCAGGAGAGCTCCATACTCGGGGGAAGGGAAGTTTAACTCCCCCCCCCCGGTCCCTGCCCCTAGTAGGGGTTTGCCTGATGGAGCCAGTGAGCCAGCCTTCACTGGTCCATTTAGGGAGCAGAGGGGCAGGGCCAGCCCTGCTCTCCGGAGCAGACAGTACAGCACAGCCCAGGGCTGCAAAGCATGCTGGATGCTGGGGAACTCTGATTTAATTTGGACCTGGACAGAAGTTTCATAAAATAGTTTGACCTAAATCAGTTAAGTCTGATACTACATTCAACCAGGTTTATCTTAAACTAGTTTCAGTCATTTTGAAACTGGCTTATGTGCACTGAACTTATGTTCTGTTATAGGTTTAAACCAGTTTCTGGTCACTTAAACTGGTTTACGTGTAACTTCTGTTCCTAGCCCCATTGAAACTACTGGGACTTAAGTATGTGCTTCGGTGCTTTATGGAAATGAGACAGCTCTCATTTCACTATTTCTTCTCTCTCCCCCTTTCTCTTTTTGTGCTACAGTACTTTAGAGGTCAGCTTTTTCTCCTCATCAACAGATAAATTGGCAAAACAATGACCTCATTCTGAACCAAGGACTCCAGTCAAATGCTCTTGCAAGTTCTAGAAGTTTTCTTCTTAGGACCTGTCTCTATTTCAGGTTGATATTTTATTTCAGTGCTTCCACTGACTGCAAATGCAGTCTTCATAGCAAGACAAACCAGATACTACTAGGCTTATTTTGTGGAGGGAGCCAATCAGCAAATGGTCAGTGGTATGAGTCCTGAAGGTTGAGGTTAGCTCAACATCAGGCATTTCTTTTCTAGAAATATTCCATACATGTAATACACATGTACACCAAAAGAAGCTAGATCACTGAAAAAACCAATCCATATGTTTTACCACATTTACTTATATATTTACAAAATATTCCCATGTGGCTCTTCGTGTATGCTTGGGAGATACCAACTCTCTCAAATTACTTGTGAATTGTGCTTAGAACTGCCAAGGCAGTAATGAAAGGCATTTTATAACTTCTAAAAAACACAGAGCAAATAAAATGTCTAAAAACATTAACAAGCATGTGTAGTTGCTGTGGATCAAGCTTCTGCACTTTCTAATAGAAACAGCCACCTCAGGGCAAGGGGAATTACAGAGGATTAATGATGAAGTGAAGTTAATGGCTCTTACCATTCCTCCACCCATAATTATACTGCCACTAGTCATAACTTCCCAGGAAATGGCCTGTGCTCAGCTCCAGCTTGATTGCAGTTTCCTCAGATTCAGTTGCATTCATTTGGATTCCAAACAATTTGTTCTGTTGGTCAAGATACCTTGTAGCTTTTCCTCCTCTGAAAATGTTGGGAAGACTGCATATTTATTGTTTGCTGACCGACTAAAATACCTGTGAGGGTCTAGTGGTTTATGAGCAAGACTGAGAGGTGGGTGTTCCTGAGTTGTAATTTGAGCTGATTCTGACTAGCTGTGAATCCTGAATATTCCTGAAGATGGAGAGTCAGAATACAGGAAAATGCAGGTCCCAGTTTCATGGGTTCTGTATGCTCTGTAACTCCTTGCGGGTGGAAAAAATGAGGCAGGGCTACATAATGGGGCAGTCTTTAGATGTCTCAGTATATCAGGGAGCGCATGGCCTTACAGCTCAGAAAACCAAATGGATAATTTGGGCTGGATAAATGTATTTACTTGAAAGCACAGAAACACAAGTTGGATTGAAGCTCTGTTCAAAATCAGGCCCATCGACTGTATATTAAATTTATATTTCTAGAACTTATCTTTTAAAGTGACTTTAAAATACTTTTTCCACTTTGGGAAATAAAATGTCTTGGCCAATCTATACAGTTCTTGAGAAAAGGTTCTCCATGCACTGTTAGAACATCTGTGTGAGCAAAGGAAGAAGTAAATGAGTGATGATTTTGTGTTCTTTTATTTTGTTCCATGAAAGGTTTTGAGTTTATTGATACTGATTTATGAAGACAGCTTTGCCTTTTTTTCAGGCAGGTGTTAACGAAAATGATTTTTATGATGGTGCTTGGTGTGCAGGACGAAATGACCCATATCAATGGATTGAAGTAGATGCTCGGAGGCTAACAAAGTTCACTGGAGTTATCACACAAGGGAGAAACTCTCTCTGGTTGTAAGTACATGCTTATTTTCCTCCCTGTGATGCTAAAGTTTGGAAGTAAAGTGTGGGTTTTCCTCATTTTTCAAGAAAGGGAAGGAGAGAGAGATGGTGTAGGTGAGAAAAGGTGTTTGAGAATGAAGGTAATACAGACAAAAAGATAAAAAGAAGTTGTTTATACAGTAGGGTCGGGGTTCAAGAATAAGGGAAACAAATGTGAAAGTAGTAATTTACTTCAACTTTTTAATTACTTATGACAAAACACAGGATAGTACACTTTTATAACCCCTTCAGCATTAACATTTTGCCGTTGAGTAACTCTTGGTACTGAAATTTCTTTACTAGGGTTACCATATTTCCAGTATCAAAAGAAAGGATACCTGGGGGCGGGGGGTGGGAAAGGGGAGGAAGGGGTATATGATTCTGGAGGGAGGGGGGGGCGTGATATGCCTGTGCCCTCCCTCCTAACCCACAGTCCCCCACCAGCCCTGATGGTGCTCCTCACTCCCAACCCGCAGCCCCTGCCACCCCAGCCCTGCTCCCCATGCAGCTTGCACACCTGCACACACACACTTTCTCTTTGCATCTCTGTCTCTTACCTGGGAGCAGCTGCCACGGTCCACACATGGAGCACATGATCCCCTGACAACCAATCACCTTCCCTGCTGCTCCAAGCCCCAAGCAGCCAAGCTGCAAGTTTGTGGGAAAAGCAGAGGTAGAGCAAAAACTTGGACATTTGCTTGCATTTTAAAAACCTGCCCAGACAGGAGGACAGGGGGTCAAAAAAGAGGACATGTGTGGGAAAACCTGGATGTATGGTAACCCTATTCTTTACCTAAACCAGTGTGCAACTTGCTTACGTTAAGTTTTTTAACTGTTGTCCAGTACCTAACAATTATTCTATTAGCAATCATGTTACTGATGCTATACATTTTCATGGGGTGGGAATCGGGAGTGGGGGTGGCGCTGTGTTGTTGCACCACTGCTGTCCCTGGCTGACCTGGGTGCAGGGGAAGCCCCAGAGCCACTTCTGCTCTGCTTTAGCCTTGTGCTGTGGCTGCATGGGGTGCCAAACTTAGCAAGAGACAGCAGTGACTGTCCTTCCCTCCATGATCCCCACAGGCCAGGAGCAGACAATGGAAGGATGAACCTGCCTTCCACTGCAGGGAGTACTGGGCTTGGCTGGCAACAGTGCTGGTGGTGCACAGATTCCTCCTTCCAGTGACTGCTCCCTCCCCAGAAAGCACCCATCACTTTTCAGGAGCAGGTGCTGGAAGGAAGAACCTGTGTGCTGCCACTGCTGCTGTCCCTGGCTAAGCCAGGCTCCTCCGAAAACTACTCTGCACAGCCCCTGGATGGAGGCATGGCTCTGGGCTCCTCCAGTGCCCAGGTCACCTGGAAACAGTGGTGGCAATGGTGGGCAGCCTTCTTCCTGCCCCTCCCCACCCTTTGTGTCTCTGCTTCCTGCCTGGCTTCCTGGTGTCCTTACCAGTCTGGAGACTCCAGCCATGTCTCACCCCAATGCTCTTAAGGATGGTGTGTTGCACCCCTCTTTAGTAAATCCTGGAACTGCCCATGCTAATACATTAGTGATCGCCAGTTAACATCTTTTGAAGTGACATCAATTAGGTCAACCCTTGTAATATTGTTTATATATCACATTCCATAGAAAGAAAAATGCTTTACAGCATCAACACAAGGCATACAAACCATTCTGATCTGAGTTCCACTATCTGCTACATAGACTGCACTGAGTTTGTGCATTGCAGGAAGAGTAAGTGGAGGTGTGGTAGGGCCAGTGAATTTGGCCCCTTTATATATGTCCAAGGGGAAGCTCCTCCTCTCTGCTTGGGGAAGGTTGCTCATTCTAGAACAGCTGAGACCAGAAACTCAGGGCATTTTTACACATGCTCCAGGAAGGGGAGTTCTTTAATTAGAGCAACTCCGAGAGTTGCTGTAATTAAAGCACTCGCAGCATCTCATGTATCAGCATCCCCGCGCTTCAAAATGGTGGCGGGGGTGCTTTAACTTAAGCTTGTCAAACAAGCATTAGTTAAAGTACCTGCCACCATTTTGAAGTGTGGGGATGCTGATACATGAGATGTGGAGGCTGCTGGAGGCACACTCACTAGCATGATCCAGCAGACTTGATTAATTGAGTCTGCTCTGACGCACTGTACTTACAGCGTGTCAAAGCAGCCTCCCCGCATGTCCGCAGGCACACTCAGTTTCCATATCCTATTTCATGATTCCTTTTAAAGGATGAAAGTATACTGGAGTTCCATGTTTAATCACAGACTAGAGGCTTTTCTTCCTGCCTCATTAAATTTACGCACGCTGTTACCGGTTCTGCATGCACTGATGTGCATACTTACTTGTGACCACGCTTTTGGTTTAGACACAGATTAGGCACCCATTGTATTTTTGAAAACTAATACCTTTATGTTTGCTATTCACATTTTATCTCTTTCTCTAGCAAAAGGCTCATTGGTTGTGTTGGATGTTTACCTAAACCCAGTGGCAACCAAGTGTAAAAATCACTGTAGGATTTGACACCTTACTCAATAATTCTCTTTCAGATTTTTTAACCAATATTTTCCATCCCAGCAAGGCCCTGTTAATGAAGAGCAGAGCAGACTGCACATGTTTAATTGACGTAGGAATCGAAAATGGAAATTGCTCTCTGCTCCTTCTTTTGTTAAGGATTTCTAGTTCATTACTGACTTCCAGCCTGAGGCTGTAATTTGGCCCAATAGGATTGAACAGGATGTGAAAGGAGGGAAGATATATTTAATTGTTATTTTAATGCTTGGTCTGCTCCTGCTTAACACTTGCAAACAACTTCAGAGGTGTTTCTGTTAATGTCAGTGGAGTTACTTTGGAGTTACTTCAGTACAAAACTGATTTAACTGAGATAGGAATGAGACACCGGACAGTATCTTGTGAAAATAAATAGTAGTTGAAAGTTACCATGAATTTACTTCTTTCAACCTAGAATTCTACTTAGTTTTCAAGGGACTAGTGCTTCAGTTCTTACTCCAAGAAACAATCCCATTCACATCACTGGAGTTCCTTGGGTGAGGAAGGGGATAGCAGGATCAGATCCCTTTAACAAGATCTATACCCTACCCTGTCCAACCCTATTAGACAAAATCACTGCAGTAAAAACAAAATTTCTCTTTTTAAACAGGAATTTCAGGTATTGATTTTCCTTTGCACATTGGTGTGGGGGGTGGGAGCCTTTTGTCAGGGAGGGGTGCTACAGTTAATATTATTGTTCTGCAATAGGTAATACCATATTTATTCAAATACAAGACAAGGGTTTTTCCCCCAGTTGGCATAGGGGAAAAAGCTCCTCATCTTATAATTGCAGACAAGGAAATCTCACTAAATACATTGTCTATCATTAAATTGCTGCCAAAAATATCATGCACTCAGTAATGGAAACCAACTATGAAGTTGATTAAATGTAGGTAACATTGAGCATAACTATAAAACATTGCCCACATTGAGCAAACATGCTTATGGGAACCTTTTTTTGTGTGGCCCTTAAAAAAACAAACAAATGGGTAGTGTTCCTTCTGCAGGGAACTGGCACTGGGCTTGAAGGTACTGCAATACCAGGCTGGCACCGGGAGGGCCAGAGCCAGCCCTGAAACCTTTCCCTTGGTGCCAGAAAATGTTAAAGGTCAGGATGACAAAATTTTGAGGGATAAGGAAATACAAAGGATCTGAGTGAGGGCCTACATTAGGCCTGTGTGAAGCAGCTAGTATTCACTTCAGATTTGTCCAATTTGGGGGACAGTGATTTGATTTGGTGATTCGAACCACTGTCCCAGATTCATTTGGCTGAATCTGATTCAGAGATTCAGCAGCAGCCGAATCTCCGAATCAGCCAGGCCAGGCACATCCCCCACCCACTCTCCCAGTCCGGCAATGGCTGCCCCAGCTCCCAGCACTTGTAAAAGTGGCAGAGCCCCACACGCAGCGTGGGCCAGTGGGGGCAGCAGGGATCCCCACCCCCCCCCAGCAGCACCCGGGGAGTACTGGGGCTTTTCTTTAAAGTACTGAGCTGGGGGGGGGAGTGGGGGGGGTTGGGGGGGCTGGCAGGGGTACCTGCAGCTTTGAATCAATTTGGACCTTTAAATTGGTCCCCTGATTTGATTCAGATTCAGAGATCGGCCACCAAATCAGGTTGAATCTCCTCTGAATTGAATCACCACCTGAAGCTTCGCATAGCCGTAGCCTATATGGTAAAGGGTGGTAGTAGGGGTGTGAACACAACCAAGTTACACAAGAATCATGAAGCCAACTGAGTTCAAGGGTGAGGGGGTGGGAAAGGGGAAAAAAGGGGGAAGGGGGTGCAGTGCTAACATAACAAAGAGTATATAAGAGACCCTGCAAACAATACTGCATTTGAGTAGGGAGGTGGTTTATAGGCACCCATAGAGTTACAAATAGAGAGATGCAGGATACAGTTGTGGGGGTAGGGAAGAGTCCAAGATTTAGAAAGTCCTTTTAATCCTTTAAGTGTAGCAGCAGTGGTGGTGGTTGTGGGGTGGGCAGGGATTAAGGTAGTCCCCTCTGCATTGCTTCTGGTCAGCAGTCAGCTGGGGTCCATGTACTAGTGTTATCATATGATGTACTCCACATAGATATCCAAAAAGGCCAAGATGCTGATGGAAACCTACCACAAAGATAGGTCAGTACAACCCATCTGAATAAGACATATGCTAATGCCCAGTCCATTAAATGCAATCCCTCATTGTGGATTCTTTCAAGTCTTGGGGAACCACAGTATTGTTCTCTCTGTTGCCTCCCTTCTCAGCCTAGCACATATGATTAGTGTGGCCCTGCCCTCCACAAGGTGAAGTCAGACCAGGTTGCTCTGCGACCCATCTGCATATAATTTTTTGGAGGACTTCAGGACTCATGGCAAGAACACCTTGTTCTAGTCATGAGTGGGGGCTAATTAGCAAATGGATTCTTTGGGGCAGGTGGTTATCTGGAGTATT